ACTTAGGTTTTGAGGCACCTAACAGTGTATACATGATTTAAAAAAATACTTCGATGCTCGCATCAAAGTCCTGGGACTGCCATAGCTCTGACCAGGCACAACCGTGGAGCAACTGATACAAAAACAAAGAATATAATTTTCCTTAGAAAAATCATAATCATATGTATTTCTTGGGCTGGTGCCGTTCAGCTTGTCCCTTCTCAAATGATATGTTCATTGAAACAGCTGGATGATTAAAGGTCTTCAATGACAAAGGGACTGTCAGATCTACTTATATTCAAAAATTAGATATATGTAGTCAGATCAATTATTTATGGTGTTGTACTGCCTAAGGACATACATACATAGAAACTGCCGTGCAACAAGGTTGCTATCAGCAAACAAATTAGGCAAATTGAAATCACCCAACATCAATACTTTGTTGTCATTTAACGTTAGTATTTCCTTAAAGATATTAAAATAGTTTTCGTAACTTTCATCATTCATGTTAGGCGGAAAGTATACTACAATCATTAGGATTAGGTATAATTTGTCCAAAATCAAATTTTTAATTACCTACCTACTTATTTTTATTGGTGGCAATTAGAGATTAAAGTGTGGTGACGTTACCGCGGTAACGATAATTTTGGTAAGGTAATTTTGGTAATTTAACCCGACGAATTTCTTTACCGGTAATTTTCAGAAATGCTTCCTGAATGAAATCACATTCAGGCGACAATCCTTTTCATGCATTATTCTCTATCTACCACATGAAACATTTCCAAAATAACCGAAAAATTACTGGTAAATTACCACTGGGAAAGAACAAATGAAAATTACTGGTAAACTTCAATCTCTAGTGGCAATTGAAAAATTTCAATTCACCTAATTGAGATTTTAATCAACAACCAATAAACCAAAACATTATAATAGCATATTATTGAAGGCAATAAAGTGCAATGTTGTTCTTCTTGTCCACTAATTGGTTGACCCAATACTCAAAATTCTTATCTGGACCCAACTTCTAAAGATAAATAATTAAGGCACAGTAATGTGCACCCATCATGAGAAGGTGGAATACCATACGATTTTACGAGTTTCAAATACCGTCTGCTAGGGAACTTCCAATGCCTGTGAGTAATTAATAAATATATTTCAATTTCAATAATTCATAACTAAGTACATCTGCTTTTGGGTCCAGTAGATAAAAATTTCTTAATTCACTAGTTAATGGTTGTTTCCTATTTGATAATTTTTTACCCAAAAAAATTAGGGATGGATCCACTCAGAAACTATTAAATAACGGGCAACCATTATTACATTACAAACGTAGCCAATTCCTAAAAATTGTGACTGGGATCGTGTTTTTCAACTTGTTTGGTAATAATTGGGCAGGGTTTGTTTTTTTTTGTTTGTCAATTGGGAGTTTTAAGGATGAGCAATGATACATATTCCTGTGTACTCAGTTATTTTTATTATAATGATGAATGGTTGTTGTTAATATCTTTTTTCAGTATTCTGGTAGGGAAGCATTAAATGACTGTGATTTCGGAGAACTTTGGTAGACTAAACACATAATTAAATCACTTCGGAGCTACTTATAAAATAGTTATTAGGAAATTAAATACCAAAATTTAGATTAGTTATAGGGTCAAATGAAAAACATATATGTAATTTTGAGTATTGAATAATTTTATAAGCTGGAAAAGGTGGATATTAGGTGTAGAAGAGGATGAGGGAAAAAATCTTAATAATTAAAAATGGATAGACTGAGCTGCATTCCATTATTACGGTCTATTTTAAAATGAGTAGGTAATTGATCCCTCACTTCTTAGCTGGTTTGGTTCTAATTGGCAAAATTAGTGAACTGTTATTAGTGACAGATATTCTCAAGGATGGAGTTTTATTCATACTGGTATTTCTTGAAGAATAATTGTGACCAACGTTCCGTCCAAAACTATTTTATGTAAATATTCAGATCTCGACGAACGTAAGTCAAAGGGGAAAGTAAACATAAGGCTCAGATATATTAACAATGTCCAAGAATAGTTTCGTCTCACAACGAGGAAAATAAAGATTCAAAAAACTTATTGAATCATTTATTCAGGTTTCCTTTTGGTATAGTAACCTATGAAACATGGCTGACCAATCAAATACCCGATAGCATTGTGCACATACCCGGCTATATGATGTTTCGCAAAGATAGAGGAACGCAAGGAGGAGGTATTTGTGTGTATGTCAAAAGCAACATTGCCGGGCACAATACATGCTGTTATCAGTCAACAATTCTACACGTCAGCTACAGTTGAATCACTATGGATCGAAATTAAGCTAAGCAAAATCAAACTTTTAGTTGCATGTATTTATAGGCCAAAGCAAAAGACCACAGAAGAACAAAACCAGGTTCTTATACAGACTATTGAGAAAACTATGGCCCTTAAAGAGCCTGTCTATATCATGGGAGATTTCAATTACGCAGAAATCAACTGGAATGCCTTGGAAGTGTACCCCCACAACCAGTGCAGCAATGACTTCTTGGAAAGTTACAAAACAAGAACCACTGTGGACATCAACTTGTAAACTTTCCAACTAGGTTCAGAAACGACGAAATATCACTCTTGGACTTACTAATAGTTAATGAGAAGAAACTTGTATTTGACACACAACATCATGCACCAGCACCACTGGGAAAAAGTGATTACATTACAACACACAAAGTCTACAAGAGGCAATTCTGGAAAGCTGATTATGACGCAGTGAGAAATAGCCTACAGCAATATTTACAGCAAGTAACAAATCCAATGACTACTGAGAAGTTTCATGAGGTATTGACTATAGCAATAACCACCTACATTCCAATCAGACCTCAAAAAATGAATACACAAAAACCATGGTCCATGGCTGACCAGGGAAGTCTTCAAAGAGATCCAAAGACAACGAGACTATTGGCATACATATAGAAGTAACAAATCAGAAGCGAGCTACCAAAAATACTAGCAACAAAGCCACAAGACCAAAGCATCAGCTAGAAAAACCTATGAACATAACCTATTGGATAATAGTAAACAATTTTACGCCTACATAAATCACACCCACAACCCAAAACATCACAAATTTAACCCAATTGATAAAATAACACAAGAACCACAAACATCAAATCAAGATATTGCAGAGTGTTTTGCAGAAGAGTTTGAGAAAGTTTTCACAGTGCTCAACTCGAATACGGTTCTGCCCACACTACCATATGCATATGCTACAACCGAGTTAAAAAATATCGTGTTCACTCCGGAAAAAGTTGAAACAACAATAAAATCACTTAAACTATCATCCAGTCCAAGGCTCGACGAAATCCCTCCTGTCTTCCTCAAGAACTATATCCAGGTGCTAAAAGGGCCACTAGCTGACATGCTTAATAACATAGCAAGAACAGGGGAATTCCCTGCAGCATGGAAAAAAGCAGTGGTGACAACTATTTATAAAAAAGGAAATAAACAGCATGCAGAAAACTATCGACTTATAAGTTTAACGAGTACAAATGTGCAAATGTATGGAGAAAATAATCGCAAAAGAACTCACCCATTTTTTTATGGACACACATTCATACCAGATCAGCAGCACGGCTTTCTTCCCGGGAAATCGACGATTACAAATCTCCTAACAAGACTCAACCACTGGACACTGTCAGATGACAACCACGAACTAATCGATGTGATTTATCTTGATTTGCAAAAAGTATTTGACAAAATACCAACACAGTTCCTAATCCATAAAGTCGAACACGTCGGAGTTAGGGGCAATTTACTCCAGTTGATCGAAGTATTCCTCACAGGAAGAACTTCTCAGGTGCGTGTGGGTCCAACACTTTCAAAAGAGCACAGAGTGCATAGTGGAGTACCACAGGGATCAGTTCTCGGTCCTCTACTCTTTATTGCCTATTTAAGTGATCTATATCTAGGGCTGGAAACAAGAAATCCATCTTTTGCCGATGATGGAAACATTTATGGAAATCCACTTTCGCAACATGCTGCTATTCGGAGAGACCTAAACAATATCAAAGAATGGACACAGCTATGGAAAATGCCCTTGAATGATTCCAAATGCACAGTCCTACATATTGGCCAGAACAACCCTAAATTGAATTACTTTTTTGAACAGTTTCAAATAACACCTGTCATACAACAGAGAGATCTAGGAATCACTGTAACCCAGGACTTGAAAGGGGAAACTCACATCACGCAAATGACCAAAAAAGCCTATTCAATGATTTACCTCATACAAAAATCATTTAAAGACCTCTCCAAAGATATGATACTAAAGCTACATAAATCATATGTCAGGCCAAGAATGGAATATGCACAAACTATTTGGAATCCTTACTATGCTAAAGACATAGAGCAAATTGAGAGAGTCCAACGAAGAATAACTGAGCTGTCTCCAGACCTTCATGAACTGCCCTATGAGGAACGATTAACCCAGCTAGTCCTAACCACCATAAAAGATAGAAGAATGAGGGGAGATTAAAATAATGAATAGGTACTATACATGCAACTTAAGAGAGATCTACCTTCTCAACCAAAACACCAATCTCAGAGGACACAATCTAAAGCTTTTCAAGGAGAAATGTAACAAGCTAATGAGAAGAAACTTTCTAACAGGGTGGTTTATCTCTGGAACAGTCTTGGTAACAACACTGTCACGTCAACAACAAAGAACCAGTTCAAAAACCGTTTAGACCAAGAAAGGAAGAATCAAAGCATAACGTTCTTTGTGCACTATACCGTATAAGGCAACTAAGCTTCAGGAGGACTATTAAGACCGCAGAGGCTCTTTTGGCAAGAGCAATGCATGACTTCCCACAAATCTCTAATCTTTAAACAATAACTCAAATAGATTCAGCTGTTTAATCGGATTTATTCCGTCTACTGCAGATACCCATAATAATAATAATACGTAATATCTGTGTTAATATTTCTATTTAATCATGTTAGGCGTTATACTCAATAATTTACTTTCAATTCCAGATAGATTCCGTGTGGGGCTGGGCGTCACCGCCCTTACGTCTCCAATTCTCCTCGCATTCGCGGGGTCCCTGTCGGATGGGGGACTCCGCAGGAGGAGATCGACCTCCATCGCCTGCCAGACTTTCGCACACCTCCGACAAACACCCCAAGAACACCTTGACAGAACTGAATCTGCTGCGACGCCAACGCGAACTGTGCGACGTAGTTCTCAATGTGGGCGGACGGAAAATTTTCGCCCACCGGGTGATACTTAGCGCTTGCAGTCCTTATTTTCGTGCAATGTTTACAGGCGAATTGGCTGAATCTAGACAAACCGAAGTGACTATCAGAGATATTGATGAGCTGGCGATGGACTTATTAATTGGTTAGTAAACTTACTTGTTTATTCATGTTTGGACAACATAATTTCTCTCTTTTAGATTTCTGTTATACTTCACACATTGTCGTAGAAGAATCAAATGTGCAAATGTTACTACCCGCAGCCTGTCTGCTGCAACTGACTGAAATACAAGACATTTGTTGCGAGTTCCTTAAAAGACAACTAGATCCCTCCAATTGTTTGGGTATACGAGCATTCGCAGATACTCACTCTTGCAGGGAATTACTTAGAATAGCTGACAAGTTTACTCAACACAACTTCCAAGAAGTAATGGAATCAGAGGAATTTATGTTACTGCCTGTTGGTCAATTAGTTGATATCATAGCCAGCGATGAATTAAATGTGCGCACTGAAGAACAAGTATTTAACGCCGTCATGTCCTGGGTGAAATACAACGTTGCCGAGCGAAGACAGCACTTACCTAGCGTACTTCAACACGTAAGATTGCCTTTGCTGAGCCCGAAATTTCTTGTTGGAACCGTGGGGTCAGACCTGCTGGTTAGATCGGATGAATCTTGCAGAGACCTAGTTGACGAAGCCAAAAACTATTTGCTTTTGCCGCAAGAAAGGCCTCTCATGCAAGGACCTAGAACTAGACCAAGGAAACCGACGCGAAGGGGTGAGGTTTTATTTGCAGTCGGTGGATGGTGCAGCGGTGATGCTATAGCTTCAGTGGAAAAATTTGATCCGCAAACTATGGAATGGAAAATGGTTGCACCGATGAGCAAAAGACGATGCGGTGTAGGCGTGGCAGTATTGAACGATTTACTTTATGCCGTTGGTGGACACGATGGGCAAAGTTATTTAAATAGTATAGAAAGGTAAGTTACTTTTTTTTAGAACATTTCTTTAGTTTCCTTGAACACAACTCACTACCCGCGTACGGTTAATTAAGCTTATGGCAAGCCTCTTACTCTTACTTCTCCGTATTTCAAGTTTTTTCAAAGTTCTTTTTGTTTGAAAAAGAAATCCATTGGGGGACGTCCTGTGTAATGAAAATCCCCATTGATGTTTCTTTTCTATAAAAAGTAAACGAGTAAACCAATTATAAAGTCTGTTTTTTTTTTAAAGAGAATTCCCCAAGTCAAAAATTTAGTAACTTTGTTGGCAACACAAGCCTTTTCTACATAAAAAATTTGAAAGCATTGACAATTTTACATTGTATTGCCAACATATTGTCATTTTGACTTTTATCTTTAAAAAAAAACAGATTTTATGTTTAAATCATTTTCAACTTTAGGTATGATCCTCAAACTGATCAATGGTCATGCGATGTGGCTCCAACAACGTCTTGCAGAACAAGTGTCGGCGTTGCTGTTTTAGACAATCTCCTGTATGCTGTTGGTGGTCAGGATGGCGTCCAATGTTTAAATCATGTTGAAAGGTAATTAAGAAATATAGTGTAAATTATGGTAATTATTGAACATTATTTAGGTATGACCCCAAAGAGAACAAATGGTCAAAAGTGGCCCCCATGACTACTAGAAGGTTAGGTGTTGCTGTTGCGGTTTTGGGTGGTTACCTTTATGCCATTGGAGGTTCTGATGGCCAATCGCCTTTAAATACGGTGGAAAGGTAAAAAAGATAAAATATTCAAATAAATATTTGTTTAATGTTTTTTTTTTAGGTATGATCCACGGCATAATAAATGGACCATAGTCAGTCCAATGTCGACCAGACGAAAACATCTTGGTTGTGCAGTATTTAATAATTTAATTTACGCTGTTGGTGGTAGGGATGATTGTATGGAATTGAGCAGTGCAGAAAGGTATAATCCGCACACAAATACATGGAGTCCTATTGTAGCCATGACTTCTAGGAGGAGTGGAGTAAGTTTTCATTTTGCCATCATGAAATAAAAGAGATATTTCTACTTTAGAAAATATAAAACTTAAATACTAGATATCCAGAAGCTTATTCGTTGAAAATGGTGTTTGGACAGTTACATCATAATTTTGTCACTCTTTAGGAATGTCGCGGTTCCTCTCTCATCTTTTTACCTGACTTTCGAATTTGCTTATAAAACATTCTAGATATATTAAATAATTTCCGATATATTTTAGGTTGGTTTGGCAGTTGTTAACGGACAACTGTACGCAGTAGGCGGCTTCGACGGTACGGCGTATTTGAAAACCATCGAATTCTACGACACCGAACAAAATCAATGGCGGTTGTGCGGCTCGATGAACTACAGACGTTTAGGCGGCGGCGTCGGAGTAATGAGAGCGCCCCAAACCGAGAACCGGATGTGGTAGTTTTAGCATTTGTTGACGCCACATTTTTTGTATTTTCAGGACGAAGTGTGAAGAATCTCCGATTTTTGATAGTCGCATATAAGTAATGTGAAGTTTCTTTATACAGTGATGCTTGGTAAGTTATATGAGAGTTATTTACACAAGTGTTTAAATCTGAGTTGATGTAGGTTTTGTCCAATTGATATGTGCATGTCGATCGATATCAGGATATGTTGTTTGAAGACATATTTATATGAAAAATCATGATAGAGGCGAGCCAAAAAAGATCTTACTATACATATACATACTTCAATTTTACCCAAATAACTGATGGACATTTTTATAAGACAGAACCTACTTCGCCCAGGATAAGATGCTTAGATACAATCCAGTCTTATACAGCTGTGGTTTTCATTTTATTTGCATATTATTTTGACATTTTCAACATTGTCGTGCTTACTTATCATGAAAAATGGTTGGATGGTATCCAGTCAATATGAACGTAAAACAGAAACCAGAAGATTGTCCCCTCTATACAATCAATAGGATAAGAGTTTATTATGTGACATTACAATTTAATCCTTCAAGTTGCAAGTGATATATTAGTTAAATTATAGAAAAGCCTCAACAAACAAGGCTAAGAGTAAAATTCACATAAGTACCTAAACATTTTATTCACTATCTTTCAAATAGATAAAAACAAACAATTTGTGTAAAGTGTAAACATTTATGTAAAGACTCCCATGGACATTACAAATTTATTGTCATTAGTATTATTTCAAATTAGTGAGGTAATTAGGGCTTTACATTAGGTCTGTTCTAGTTTCCTGACTGTTTTCAACCAATGAAATTCGATCTGACTGGTTTGAGATTTCTGCAGAAACAGACCTATTATTCGAGCGGCAATAATCTCGTTAATTAACCAAAAAAATAATGACATTAAGCTCATATCCTAAGTATAAGTATAAACATTGCCTGTTATACATACACCTTATTTTAATTTTTGGTGGCGTCAATTATTTGTAAATAGCGAATTATTGTTATATGGAAAATACCATAATAACTGCAGCTTTTAGCATAACTCGTTCCAAATATATTTCAGATCTTGCTGTAGTTATTATGGTATGCTTGTTATGCGATCGGTGGATTGGGTTTTTATTTTAAAATTTTTGTTGACAATTGTGAAAGTTTATCTCTTTATTCGCGGAATACTTTGTACTGTAAAAATTAATTCGATTGATTCTGAAATTTTGAAACTAATTTTTGTTGGCTTCCAAAATGTGATGACTTAGGAGTTTCCAAAGAACACAAAAATGGTATTCAATCATTGTGCAGATTATGTGAGTTCATAGAGCAGATTTTTTTTAACTATGTTATAAGTTTCTATTTAAATACTTTAGGGTTTATTCTAATTATTATAGATTATAATAAAGATCAAAGTATGTATCAACTTTTTTTTTCTTTTGCCTCTGGATCGAGTTTAAAGAAATTTCAGCCAGCAAAAATAAAAATAATGTAAATGCCAGTTGATGTGTTGGTTATTTAATTTGCAACAATTTATTCCAGGCTTACTTTTAACCTGTTGAGTATTTCTGTAATATTTTGATATTCTGGGACACTTTTCTGTACCTGCATAATAATAATACTTCGAGTTTATTATGCGGACAATGTTTTATGTTTATGTAAGCGACTTTTGGCAGTTTGTTGAGTTCAAATATGAGAAATAGCGTATCAGAGGGCCATATTCTCCCTAGTACATAAAGCCTGGCTTAGTGGAAAAAAATATATTGTTAAAAAAAGTGGGACGTTGCCACCTGAGCAGCTGGTAGGAAAGGCAAGGCAACGCAACGCAGTGTCAAGTTTGGCAAAATCAACATTGTTAAGTTCTTGTAGCATTTCAAGCAATAAATCACTAACAGATTGTCCAAAAGGCCAAGTAGTCGATCAACGTAAAAAACCATCTTATTCTAATGAACCTCTAGTTTGCAATATGCTAACATAACTCGCTTCTTTATCTGACTTATTTGAAACCAACTAAAAATGATAATCCTTGTGACAATCAAATTGAGGCTGAAGTTGCAAATAATCAAGATGATAACCACCCAAAATGGTAAACCTTATGAATGTCGAGCACTTCTAGATTACTGCTTTCAGTCAAACTTTATTACTAAAAAATTATTCAACGTACCTATTGAAACTTAAAACATCAAGCACATCACATTCAGTAGAGGGTTTTGGCAATAAGGTAACCAAGATTTTCACTAGCACCTCAGTCGATATCAAATCCACTGTTAATAAATTTAAGTTAAATAATGTCCATTGTTTATTAATAGGGAACTTGACAAAAAATTTAAACATGAAAATATTACTGTAAATCATAAGAATACATTAATTAAAACCTATATCAGCGAAAGAAACAATTTTTTTTGTCGCGAACGGCCACAATAAGGAATTAAAAATGCGGAAAAATTCAAATTATTTCCAGCGGGAAAAAACGCTCTGGTACTGGTCGTGACGTCATCTAGTATGATCTGTCAGTGTCTGTCAGCAACCGTCCATCATACCGTGAGTTCGTCTTGAAACACCAAGCGCTCGGAGCATTTTCCGTCTTTTTTCCTTATGATGAGAAGAACAGGGTAAAAAAACAAAACAGCAACTCCGAGCGTTTACTCGAACTCTACACAATAAATACCCGTTAGCTGTGTTTATTTGTTTATTTACGTTTTTCTCTCAATTTTTAAAATTTTATTATTAGAATAGGGCAAGTACACGATCTGACAGTTTGACACTATTGACAATCGCCTTGAGGTAAAACAAAGATATATTTTTTCTACTGACGTTTCATAATACCAACTTTTCGATTGTCATTTTAGTTTTAAAATGACATTCTTTTAAGCACTGAGTGCGTAAAAGTTACTTTTAAGCATTCAGTGCGTAAAAGTGACTTTTGAATGCGTAAAAGTGACTTTTGAGTGCGTAAAAGTAATTTTTAAGCACTAGTGCCTAAAAGTGTCATTCATTATTCAGAAATAAAAAACACACTAAACACAGATTTGAATTTTGTTTTGTATTTATTATGAATATTAAAAATGTAATTATTGAATTGAACGTTTGGGTTACTCAAAACAGAACTTTGTGTTGTTACCTACTTTCTAGGATTTTAATTATTGATGTCGAATCTTGAAAGAAAAAGTCGCATGAAAAGTGTCAGGTGTCAAGCAAAAGCAGGTAACAAAGATTTTGGGCGTAATCGACTTATTCACATGAAATAAAATTGTGTTTTTCTATTATAAAATGCCAGTAGAAAAAATCTTGTATACAATACGTTACGAAACGATGTCTTTCAGGCACTCGACGTGTTGTCCAACTCGGCTTTGCCTCGTTGGACAATTTTCACGTCGCGTGCCTAAAAGACGCTCATTTCGTAACTTATTGTATAAATAGCTATTGCAGTGTTTTTTAAGTTTTTAGTTAGATTTTTTTAAAAACATACCTTTTGTGTGCTCCAGAAGTTTCTTGGACATGCCTAGAGTTTGTTTAGTTGTTAATTGTGGCAGTATAGCACAAGGGATACAATATCCTTCCATAGGCTTCCATCAATTTTAAATAACAATGGGAGGTTTGATTTATTAGCTCAAGAGAGAAGAGAAAAATTGATTAATGTTCTTAAGGGCCAAATTATGGACCAACTGGTAAGTGTCTGGTTGTTACTTAGCAGGTACTTTCTATTCTCTAGTGCATAGAAAGTACCTGCTTGGTAACAACCAGACGTTTACCAGTCAGTCCATAATTTGGCCCTAAAAGAGAAGATCTGACAGAAAAGTAGATTGATTATAGAGTAACTATAGTTATATATTTGTTCTTGTGACACTTGGTTTTGATATTTGTTGGAAAAAACCTGAATTTAATCCATTATAGAAAAACCTAGCAAACTTTTAGATGAAAGACCACATAGACTGGAACACAAACACTCCGTTCTAACTTTTTTAAAACAAAATAACACCAAAACTTGTGAAAAAGCTGTGAAAACCGAATAACACATAACCGGCCTAATCTAAACGAATGTAAATAAATGTTTTGTTTTACCTCAGGGCGACTGTCAAACTCATTTGTGACGTCACATGGACATGCCCTATTGGTTTACTTAGCTTAAATTCAATGATTAGCTCAGCATTATATAAATAAAACGATATACCTATTAATTATGACCGAAGAAGGAAATTCCAAAGGCCAATCTGTAATTTGTGATATGTTTATAGTAGCAAAAGTAAGTATGTGCGAATCTTTTTTTCCATTATAACTTAAATATTTACAACTCGCCGCAACCCAAAACAACAAGAAACAAAACAAATAACAGTGGAAAATGTGGAAATCAACTAAATTAAATACAATAAAGTAAAATATAACGTTTGACGACAAGGTGACGCAAAATCATACTACGTTACGTCATCTAGATTTGCGCGCATTTCAGGTCGTTTGAAATGCTTTTAATAGGCGCGAAACTTTAAACATTTTTCACCAAGTTATTATTGAGTTTTTGGGAATAATATTTGGGGAATACTCTTTCAAGGCATAAATAAATGATTTAAAAAAATTAAAAAAAAATTGTGAAGTTCCCTATTGACAAAATTACCAGAAACTTGTCTGAAGTCTCTTTTATTGAAAATGACTTACTCATTCCAGAAAATTATTACTTTGGCTGATTTGAAGTTCAACAAATCTTCAAAGATTCGCATACTAATAGGTGCATCCATTTTCTGGAAACTTATTTGTGTCGGATCAAAATGTCCTGCCTAATGAGTCTACAATTCGACAGAAGACCAAACTGGGATGGATAGTCTCAGGTCCCATACCCATACCATTATTAAATCTTTCAAATTCTTCTGTTTGCAACTTATAACTTGATACACCTAACATTTCACATTAGGCCAAGGCACTTAGCGAAATAACAGCCATATTTTAACATAAAATTTAATAGCTAGATGCTAAAAACCAAAAATGCAACATCTAATTACTTTTAAGAGGCCAACAACAAATTCAAGCGCGCGAAATTCATTCTTTGTCGCCGAGTTCAAAGTAGGACCGTGATAGACGACGTTACGGCAAATATTTCCGAGATAACGGAAGGGTGTGATCAAAGATCAAATTGCATGGAAGGTGAATAATAAATCCTATGGGCTTTTGTGGAGGCAAAACTAATACACCTATCATATTTAATATAAATTAAAAAGTATACAGTTATAATAATAGCTTTATAATTTACATTGTGCTTTTTATTTAACAAATAAGAATGTGGAGAATGAAATGTGCGGAAACACAAAAATATATTACAAAGATAATAAAATTTACCTATACAAATACAGCAAAATAGATACTTGAAATGTTTACACAAAAAAAAAGTGAGGTGGCGTAGTTACGAGGGTGGGAGAGATGATGTTTATTCGTTTATTACATAAAGAACTTCCAGAAAACCTAGAAAAATAATAAACATTGGTGAGATTGCTCATGAAAACCTCGGACACATCGATTTTTGATTTCAGTTGCCGTTTTTCTGATGGTAATATCACAGGTAATATCATGTATACAGGGTGACCCAGAAACAAGTTGTGACCGCTAACTTTATTTTTTTAAATCAAAACATTAATTTTGAAGTGAAAACTTCTTTAGAATCGTTGGGAGTGATGTGAGACTCGATGAAACGAAAAAGCGACATGACACTTTTTTAACACGCTTATATTAACACACAAAAAGAACCTGGAACAAGCCAAGTGAGCTGGAACAAGTCTGGAAAATGTCTGGATAAATCTGGATGAAGTCTGGAAAAGTCTGGAAATCTCTGGAAACGTCTGGAAAGAGCCTGGAAATTTCTGGAAAGGGTCGGAAAAATTCTGCCAAAGGTCCCAAAAGACCTGGGGATCATTCTCCAGAATCCGGATCAGTCTGTACAAGTCTGGATAAGGTCTGGATAAATCTGGATTAAGTCTGTAAAACTCTGGATAAGTCTGGATATTGTCTGGAAAAGTCTGGAAACGTCTGGAAAAGACTTGGAAATTTCTGGAAAGGGTTGGAAAAATTCTGAAAAAGGTCCCAAAAGACCTGGGGATCATTTTCCAGAATCCGGATCATTCTGAACAAATCTGGATAAAGTCTGGATTAATCTGGATGAAGTCTGGAAAATTCTGGATAAGTCTGGATAATGTCTGGAAATCTCTGGAAACGTCTGGAAAAGGCCTGGCAATTTCTTGAAGGGGTCGGAAAAATTCTGGAAAAGGTCCCAAAAGACCTGGGGATCATTTTCCAGAATCCGGATCAGTCTGTACAAGTCTGGATAAATCTGGATGGAATCTGGAAAACTCTGGGAAGCTCTGAATAAGTCTGGATAATGTCTCGAAAAGTCTGGAAATCTCTGGGGCTGACACGCTATTATAATACATCGAACTAAAAAGTGAAAAATAAATGTATTTTAAAAAAACTAAAAAACACGCTTTTATAGTAAATTGAACTAAAAAGTGAAAAATAATT